AAGAAAATCAAAACAAAACACACACGAACTTTCCCTCCCACACCCTGTGTGTGAAGTGTTTAGTGAATTTAGAGCTGCAGGCTCACATCCATCTAAAACAGAGCAGCATCTACAACCGCCCACATCCTCTATTCTCTCTCTTAGTCCTTAAACTCAGTGCTTGCTGGTAAAGGGGAGTTTCAGTGTATGGATGGACCCATTTCTCTTCTCACAGCACACACACACACACACACACACACACACACACACACACGCATGATTTCTCTCAAAATTTCAAGTGTACAGAGTCCAGTGTATTTATTGTCAGATTATATGCAGTAATCCGTTTAAAATTATTACAGCTTTCATGAAATAGAAATAGAGTACCAGTATCAATAACAGGTGCACACAAGCATACACACACACACACACACACACACACACACAGGCTGTATACTGGTATGGGGAGCTATGGATATTTGTGTGGGCAGAACACAGCCTATGTTCTTTTTCTCCTCCTCCTCGCTCCATTTCTTTATCCTCCATCTCGCTCTCGCTCGGTTGCTCTCTCTTTGGGTTTTATTTCTCTTTGGGTCTAAAGTACAACCTCTGTGAGAAGTGTTTAAGTGTTCTTACAGTACCTTTATAGCACAAAATGGCTGATGTTATAAGATCATAAAATAGACATAACCTTCATCTAGAAAATCTCGTTAACAAGATGGAGCTCAATTTAACCACACATAACGATTAACCACACAAAATGAGTAGCTTACAGTTTTATTTTGTTAATAATTTTATGTCAGAATGAATACTGTATGCAGGATTGAGTACTGCTGGAGAGTTTTTTTTTTGGTGGGGTCAGATTACTGGATGAGTCAAGTGGATGAATCAATATGGAAACCACACAGCAAAATGTCCAGAAACAGAACAAATGTTCTCTGTATAACAAGTCTGCAGGAACTGCATTAAAAGGTAAAACTATTCATACATGTCTTGTGCTGTATATTTTAAAATTTAATGTTGTAATCTTTCAAATTGTTAGACCACTGTGAAATGCAGCAATGCTAGACATTTTGAAATATACAAGGGCCCACTGAATGAATCCCATTTATATAGTAACACTCAGTCCTGCACAGTGATTCTGACAGTTTAAATGCCTCAGGCCTAAACTTCAATTACAGTTTATCTGGTAAAGTGTTTACTTTCACATCTTGAACAGTTTCATGTATATTGTTAAATATTTTTTACAACTATTGTAATGTTTTTATTTGACCTCAATATTTTAGAAGCAGCAGACCTATTCTTAGTACAGAATCATCAAAAGGCACCTTACTACTGTTCATTACCGAATGCATTTTAAACCTGATGTACCAGTTTGAACTCATATTTGTTCAGCCGTGTTTATCCGCACATAGTACAGTTTAGCTGAGCAGCAGCATAGTATGTGATAATGTTTGTTTTTGGTGCCGTGCCAGCTTGTATGCCAAAAATCCACAGATATTTTGGTAGAGATTGCTTTTTTAAATATCAAAATTATACACTGCAACTATATGAGAAATACAATATGTCTGGTCATATTGTCACAGCCCAGTGTATCAAGAAAAAACTAACAATATACTGCAGTAATGTACATGGTATGGGACAGATAAAGGCCTGACACCTGGTGGTCATAATTTCAAATTACAATGAACACTTGAGATAATGCATGTTGATTTTGCAGGACACTAACAAGCTCTTCATACCCAACCTTTTAGGTTGAAAAAATAAAATAAATAAATAATAATAATAATTCAAATTATTAATAAAGATGGTGTAAAACAGAAAATAAGACAGGAGACATTGTTGCATCTGCAAATTTTGTATTTTGCTTCATTCTAACTCTATTTTAGATAAGACAGAAAAAGCAAGAGTCTCAGAGCATAGATACATACAGAGCCAGACCCATACACGGATACAAATCAACCCAAGCCACATGGTGATTACCAAAATGCACTGGAAATATAAAAATACGTCCTCCATATTTACAACCAACATTTATCATCAGTCATATGTACAAAGGGCAAAAAGGGCAGAGATACAGGTAATACCAGCAACAATTACATTTAAAGCATAAACTCCATCGTCAGACTGGGCATTAGATTCAATTCCAGAACGCTCAGATATTCTGGAGTTCCAGGTTGAGACTAATTTTCTGTGAACATAATGTGCAGTGAAGTCATAAAGTTTCCATTTATCGTCTTAGAAATATACAAATCAACACAATGTTTTTCCAGTTCACTATTATTATTACACTACAGAAATACATATCGATGGGTGAGATGACTATAACAGAGGCGATGATGAGGACCGCTCTGTCACTAAAGTTAAAGCTCTTTAAAACTATGGTGAATTCAGTTTTACACTGATAATAGGATGTTATCTACCGTTTTTCATTGTGTTATGGCACATATACCACAGAGTAGGCCTAATTTATAAAAACTGACAGTGACAGATTCCTTTGTGACAACCACTTTCATTATTATAATTTAATTAGAGCGGGAAAATGCATTAAAATACTATCAGTGGTTATCTCTAGCTGTACAATAAAAAATAATATTGTGGCTGTAGCATCAGAGGACATCATTAAAAATGATTTAACAAAAAAAACTGAAAATCAAAACCAAAAGATTTTATGATTAACAAATTGTTTCTGAACAGTGACATCTATCTCATAACAAAGATTTCTCTGCTTTAAGAAGAAGAAAAAAAGACTTGTAAAGCATATTTACACAACTGCACTATCAAGTCCCAGATATTTGCGGTAAATTTTACAGTGGTCAAACAGTTCGCTCATGAACAGAATATAGACAGTCTAGACGAACATTAAAAAGAAGCATTCCATAATCAGAAAAATGTGTTTAAATAACATTCATTTTTTAAAGAGGTTCAATTTTCTTAATGGGAATAACTGTTTGTTTTCACTTTGTATGCATTATAGCCAATGTTTTTTAATGGATTCATGTGGATTGTGCAGAATTCTTCAGAGATTGAACATGGTTAAACACACACAGGATTTGATCGTCCCTGTTCATTTTTCTCTATATATACAAAACTTTCTTTACACAGAAATAAAGATAACAGAAAAAACTGTTTAACAGTTATGACAACAAGATCATGTAAACTTTACATCATCTTTCACTTAAAAAAAAACACAATAACTTTCATATTTTTTTTGTGCATAAAATAAATATGCTCTTTTTTGGATGCTGCAAATACTAGAATATATTATGGATAAAATTTGTAATTCAGTACAAAAGCCTCTGCCTTTTAAAAGTAGAAAACAAAAATAAAATGCATTAATAAAAGTAGAGTAAAAGAGGTTTAAGAGAAAACTATGCGGTTAGGAGCTTTTTAAATATGACTACATGAAAAAGAATGTGAAGGCACTTAAATCAATTAGTTTTCCTAGTGCAAAACAAGTGCAATCCAGCTTAAACTTATTAGGGAGAAACAAGCCAAGATGGCAGAGGAAGAAAATCCTGTCAAAGCAAGCTTTGCAAAACTGCAAAGTACGTCAGGCACCTGTGATTACACCTTCTGGATAATATTCAGAGATTTAAAAAGAAGTCATAATGAGAAAAAAGAAGTTATTTGGGGTTTAAGTAGGGATATGTAATAAATGGACAGTCTCATGGCATTTGAAGAAAATCAAAACAAAACACACACGAACTTTCCCTCCCACACCCTGTGTGTGAAGTGTTTAGTGAATTTAGAGCTGCAGGCTCACATCCATCTAAAACAGAGCAGCATCTACAACCGCCCACATCCTCTATTCTCTCTCTTAGTCCTTAAACTCAGTGCTTGCTGGTAAAGGGGAGTTTCAGTGTATGGATGGACCCATTTCTCTTCTCACAGTTCTGGGGCTGAATGTCATTGGAATGCATGTCAAGTGGGTTGGATCGTGGTCATGAGGCTTGTTGGTTTGTCAGGGTGGGGTCAGGACACTCAGGGTCTGTAACAGCAAGGGTCGAGGGCCGAGTAGTGCAGGATCATCGGACGTCAGTGGAGGCCTGTGTGATGAGGCAGCTCCACCCAGAGGGCTTAGAAATATTCAGCTCCTCCCTCAGAATCCCGCTTTCTGAGAGAAAAAGAGACAATTATTATTTATTATTCACAATATACACTGCTTTTTAATGTTTTTAAGTCTCCTATGTTCATCAAGGCTGCATTTATTTAATCAAAAATAGAGTACAACTGTAATATTGTGAAATTTAAAATAACTGCTTGATATTTTAATATATTTTAAAATGCAGTTTATTCCTGTGATGGCAAAGCTGAATTTTGAGCAGCCTTTACTTCAGTCTTCAGTGTCACATGATCCTTCAGAAATAATTCTTATGTTATGATTTGGTGCTCAAGAAATATTTCTTATTATCAATGTTGAAAACAGCTGTGCTGAAAGTTTGAAAGAACAGCATTTTTTAAAAATATATGTACTGTATATATACATATTTAAACTATGTACAAGTCTTTACTGTCACTTTTGAACAATTTAACATGTCCTTGCTCTCACAAAAAAATCTTAGTGACGCCAAACTTTTAAACAGTAGTTTTAATCTGTGCCATATTAATTATCAATCAATATTAACAAATGATACCAGTACAATAAAAAAACACAAAAACTTTCTCCATCATCTAACATGTTAGGTTAATCTTTAAAAACTCTAAAAATGAAATAACACTTTAATGTAATCTTTAGCAAATCTCAAAATTAATATTCATTTTTCATACTGTACTGTACATTATTTTATGATGCCTAAATTGTTTAAATTGTAGCATTTAAAACCATTTACTTATTTTTTTGTGTCTATTTTTAATGTATATAGACAAAATAGTTTAAATTTCGAACACCAGCTACTTATCAGTTATCTGCCATAACTCAGCTTATCTATATCACCAGATTTTTTATATCAGTGCATCTTTAATAATTAAGATGCCACAAACTAACTCTAAATGGATTAAAAGTACTGTCAAATTTTGTCTCACCTCGAGTGGTAGTGTGGTTCTGGGGGACGGAGTGGGGCCGCGGACGTGTTGCTGTAGCTTGCAGGCTCTGGCTGGGCCTGGCTCAAGTACCTGCTCACAAGAGCAGAATGATCCTGCTCATGGCTGTCTTTCAGGTCCTGTACATGTCGCGGCACCCCCTCCATCCTCTCCACACTCAGCACGCGCCTGTGGCCGTCCTCCACTGGGGCACCCTCGTCATAGAAGAGCAGGCTGCGGGAGCGGACTACACACACAGAGAACAGCGTTACTTATGTCATATGTCTTGCATGATATGCTTATTTTGACTTTCATATGATTTGTAGAGTGAAGAGAAGCGGTTTTGGATTCAGAGAGAGTGGGAGAAAGAAAGAGCAAGATTTGGAGTGAGCTACTCTCTTAGGCGGTTACTACAGCAACCCCGTCGCCATCATCCACGGCCCGAGTCTGTAGGGTCCTTGTGAAAATGGATGAGGCATTTGAAGCCCCTCTCAAGCACAGCTTTGATAGAGCCGAAAGAAATGAGGCTCGGTTTGTGTTGTAAAGTTGAAAGGGGATTGTAAAATCTGCTCAAAGGGAAGTAATGATTTCAATCTAAAACTCTCTGGGATGTCTGACTGTAATTTGAGGGTGAGAATGGGCACTGTCGGCCCAGGAGCTCCGTTAATAACCTTTAGAAGAGAGACGGCACTCTTTCAGTCTCTCGTGGGGGGAACGAAATAAGTGCTGTCAAGGACACACAGCTATTAGCTGCCTGGATAATTCAATGTGTCTGAAAGCCGGATGACCTACAAATAAATGCTTCTTTGCGCATGTGTAGAGAAACATAATCATATCATGCAATGAACATGAAAAGTTGATCTCGGTTTACGCATTAGGGGCAGGGATGAAACATACCCTGGCTGGTGGTGTAGAGGTCACCTGAGGGCAGCGGTGCAGACTTCACCGTGTGTGAGGATGATGAGGATAAGGAGGAAGAGTAGAGGGAGAGCTCGGGCAGGCAGGGAGCCAGCGAGCCCAGCACCAACACAAAACACAGCGCCACCACCTGGCCAGGAGGAGGAACCACACACACGGTGAGCACACCGCCCCACTGTAATCTACTTGCACTACAGCTCTCAGAGCAGAACTGACCTGCCTTTACAATCAAGGATCAAAGCACTAAACTGAATAGACAAGATATTTCATTAGAATAGTTCAAACAAAAATGAAAATGTACTCAGCCTCGGGCCATTCAAGATGTAGATGAGTTTGTTTCCTCATCAGAACAGATTTGGAAATATTTTAAATTACACTTGCTCACCAATGGATCCTCTGCAGTGAATGGGTGCCGTCAGATTCAAAACAGCTGATAAAAACATCACAATAATCCACAAGTAATCCACACGACTCAACTCCATTAATTAACATCTTGTGAAGCAAAAAGCTGCATGTTTGTAAGAAACAAATTCATTATTAAGGTGAAACTTTAAATTGTTGCTTCTGGTCAAAATCCGTAATAATGCTTCTTCCAATGAAAAAGTCATTACCCTGTTGTCCTCTTACATTAAAATCCACTAACATATTTGTTTAGAAGAGTTTTGGACTTGTAAATGACACTTGATCTGTGCATATTTCTCCCCTGATTCAGATGAGACAACGTTTTCACTGGAGAAAGCAATATTATGGATAGAGGTATATTGTAGCTGGAAGCAACAGATCCCTGTTGAAAAAAACAGCATATGCTGGTTAGGTCTGTTTTGAAGCATGGCTGCTGGTTTGAGCTGGTTGACCTGGTTTCAGCTGGTCCTTAGCTGGTCCTATGCTGGTCCTAGCTCCTGGTCAAGACCAATTTAGGACCAGCACATGACCATCTTAAACCAGCTCATAACCAGTTTAACCAGCTCAAACCAGCAGCCATGCTTCAAAACATACCTAACCAGCATATGCTGTTTTCTTTAATAGGGTTTGAAGTTAAAAAATGTTTTAATAATGATTTGTTTCTTACAAAATGCAGCTCTTCTCTTCACAAGATGTTAATTGATGGACTGGAATCATGTTGTGGATTATTGTAATGCTTTTATCAGCTGTTTGGACTTTCATCTGATGGCATCCATTCGCTGAGCAAGTGATGTATTGCTAAATTTCTCCAAGTCTGTTCTGATGAAGAAACAAACTCGTCTTGGACGGCCTGAAGTACATATTGAGCAAATTTTCATTTTTGGATGAACTATTCCTTTAAGACTTTAAGACAAAGAAACACTAAGATAGTGTGTGTGTGAATACGAGCAGGTTGAAATAAATGCATGTGTTTGTACAGTATATGTGTATATATACCATTAGACAGGTTCCGGTCTGCGTGGAGGCGATTTTGCAGGACCGAGGCACTTTTCCACTCACTAGAGCCTGAAGTCTTTGTAGCTGTTGTAGTAGAGACCTAAAGATGATACAGAAAACGCATCAAAAAAGAAGACTGATTAGTAAATTCTTTAGATCAGGCTGTAGGCAGCATATTTGTCTGCAGGCTATGTGTGTTCTTCTCTGAGCCGTTTTGTAACAGCAGGATCTTCTTATTCTTAAACTCAGAGAGCATATGAGGATAATACACTTCTTACTCGCCACAGTGTTACATAAACTGAACTCCCCTTCACACCACTCACACAGTCTCTCGCTCTCCATCTCCTCCTCAACGCTGCTGCATGCGTGCAGTGGGTGTTAATTTATTTCCCCTTCAATTATGTCGTTCTTCAGCCACCAATCAAACATACGCTTCTTCTCTTGCTCTCTCACACACTTATTAATGTGACCCAAAACAACACAAAGTCAAACACAACTGCAACACTTATAGCCACAGGATCTGTGAGTATGATATAATGGCATTCTACACACTATTTTTGCGGTATGTATGTAGTATATATGCAATACTTGGATGACCTAGTACAAAAATGTGCGTTACACAAGTACAGTAGAGCAAACTGCGTGAGAAAACGCGTTCAGCTCTTCCATTTTCAGTGTCATGAATGAACTGGAATTCAAATCAGCCCCACACTTTTCTCATTCTTGATTGATTATATGATCACAATTGTACACAAAAGGACACAAGAAATGTATAATGACTCGATTTCAGAGTTGATAACCAAACTGATAAACATTTATATTCCCCACAGTATACAGTACATAAGCAATAGCCTGTGAACCTGTGTTTGTGCATGTAATCTCAGCAGCAGACTTTCTCAGAAGAAATGATTCAGTTATAATACAAAACGACATTGAGCTCCCGCTAGTGGAGTAACTAAGAAGCAACATCACATGCAGTAATGAGTAGCACCACCACCACCACCAGAGAGAGCCATTGCAACATGTTGGAAAACAAATCAAAACTAAAAATACTACTTTGCTATTTCATGATTTAGCAGACTCTTTTATCCAAAGCAACATACAGTACACTTATAACAGAGACAGTCCCTCTGGACCCCTGGGGTTAAGTGCTTTTCAACTTGACTAGATCACCCCAAAACAAACCTGTATATTAGTTTTCACCTAAACATACACATACAGAATCACTCATAATGAATGCTGTAGACTAGTCTAGCTCCAGACAGTATGTTTTCAGCATTGAGAGGGGCTCAGACCGCCCTACTAACCTAGCAATAATCATCTCAATTTGATTGTATAAACAGTGGTTTTCCTCAGGTTAATATACAACCCACCCACTAACACACAAACTCCCCCTGCTGTCTCTTTGAATTCTCTTAGATAACTCAGAAGGCTCTATCCTAATAAGAATCGGCAGAGCGCCAACACACACAGTCTCTTTATCCTGTAATGAGGGGCAGGCCGGCACCGTGCTGCGTGCTACTTTAATTGTGTTGTTAATAAGGGGCCTGTGCCAGTCCTCTATAAAAAGCATTACAATATACTTACACACATACGTATGTCACTCTTACCTACATACTAAAAGCACTGATGACAGTAGCATGCTACAATAAAGCTTCAAAGCCTAAAACAATGGTGAAATATAAACAGCGCAAAAGTTCAGGGTCAGTAAGATTTCTTTGTATGTTTTTGAAAAATGCTTTTTATTATTCTCACCAAAGCTGCATACATTTGATCATAACAGTAATACTGTAAAATATTACTATAGTTTAAAATAACTTTTTTCTATTTTAATATATTGGCAAATGTAATTTATTCCTGTGATGGCAAAGCTGAATTTTCAGCCACCATTACTCTAATCTTCAATGTACATAATCCTTCAGAAATCATTATAATATGTTAAAGGAGCTCAAGAAACATTTCCTATTATAATTTCAATGTTGAAAACAGTTGTGCTGCTTAATATTTTTGTGGAAACCAGGATACATGTTTTTTTTTTTTTTGTATTCTTGATAAATAGAAAGTTTAAAACAGCTGTTATTTGTAATATAAATATTTTGTAATATCATAAATGTCTTTAACTATCACTTTTGATCAAAGTAATGCACCCTATTTTTTTTATTCTTTCTTAATTTCTTTAAAAAAACTTTTAAATGAAAGTATACTTTCTTGCATGTTTTTGATAGCCCAGAAACTTAAATTCTAAACATTTCCAAACCTGTATGGCTTACTCCAAAAAAAAACAAAAACAAAAACACTCTTTCGACAAAAGAGAGAAACTCATACAGGTTTGGAACGACATGATGATAATTAAATGATAAGAATTAAATGACTGAATTTTCATTTTAGGTGAACTACCCCTTTAAGAGCTGTTCTTTTCAATAAGGTTTTAGAGTTAATCCACAGAAAAAGAGCTGACTTTGATAACACACAATGGTGCTCTCTCTTTCTGTCTCTCTAAACAGTAGGAACAGACAGCACCCTGTCGACAGTGCCTATGTTCTAACTAGGCCACCCAGGAGAGAATGAAAAAGTGCTGCTCTATATGATCGGAAGGGGAGGTTAAGACCTGCATGCATCTGGTCCGACTTCAACACCTGCTGACTGCGAAGAGGCTGCTGCGTACGCTTACCGCAAATACGGTTACAATTAAATTTATTAAAATTCACCTATAAAGTATTCACTGTGATTAAACACAAGCACACATATGGTATCTCACCTGTTGGCATTCTCGAGCGTCTCTACTTTTTTCCACAGCTCATTGTTCTCTGAAGTATAGTTCTCAACTCTGAGGAGGAGAGAGAAAGTGTGTTATTGTACACGGTCGCAATGACAGATTGAAACACATCAATAAATCGCTTCCATACGTATAACCATACATAACCCTGTCAGCTTGACTGATTAAAGCATGGTGGAAAAAACAGTGTATGTGTGTGTCCAGTGTGAGTCCAGTCTCTCCAGCACATTATCCAAACCCTGAGAGCCTAACAGCAGCATAAAAGGGAAAATGACTCATGCAAACGCACACACACCCCAATGAGTGCATGGACTGTAGCCATTGGCCGCATTCACACAACAAAAGCCATAAAATAGCAAGCAGGATATAGAGTATTTTGCAGGGAG